ACCAAGTTCAAATGCACTAGAAAGAGGACACAACACAAATGAAAGTGATAGTTCAAAACTACTCTGTATTTTCTTAATTTGACTGCAGGAATCATTTCTTAAATCAGCTTCACTCAGAAATTTGAGCTTCTGCTCTTTGCCCTCTGCATTACCCACAGAGCACAATAAAATTGGAATAATACACAGGCAAAAATAGTCACAGATCCAAATATCTGGACACCAGATCATGGTTCTTGTTAATAACTCTTAAGTCTTACTTCTTTACCCTTAATTTTTGGCCATATATCTTTATAAAACACTCTACAAAGCAGGAATCTCTAAGTTTATTGGGTACCAAATGAAATTTGGGAGGAAAACTAATTAACAACCACATAAATATCAAGACTGTTATTGCACAACATAACATGCAGAACAGCTTTAAGCCCCCCTGGCATACCTGCAGTGATGTGCTCGCTCAGGTTTGATACTACAGCACTTGGGACATTTGTAGATCACTTCTCCTGGTTTCAGCTGCAAATTATCCATGTATTCTTTAGTGGCATTTCCTTTGGGCACAGCCCCCTGGAATCATTTCAATTAGAGGAGAGAAAGCTTCTTAAATGGCAGGAGAGCATTAAAAAATACATTTTCTAGACTTACTAGCAGTAATCTCAGGATAATTGCTGCAATAAGTTCATTTAGTCAAAGCTAGGGCTGCTCTAAGCCAGAATCAATTCCAAAGGCATAAATTACCTCTGCCTGACCTCAAATTCAGTTTCATTTCAGCAAAGTCTCATATTTGGCCAAGTATTAGCATAATTCTCACAGAACCTAAAAAATGAAGAGGGAGACACATCTTTCCCTGCAGCTAAAAGCACTACAGGTTGGTAGCTGCTGAGAAGTTACTATGAGCTTTTCTTGTGCTATTTGATTATTGGGCCAAGAGTTAAATCAGCAACAACTACTTGAAAGATGTTATTTTGATTCTCTGAACCCAAGGTTTAGTCACCTGCCCCATGGACACAAGTTTTTGAGAACCAACTCATCCTTTTTCCCTTTAGAATTCAGCTTTTAGCTTGGGCACTGTCAGTATGAACCACGACTGGCTTTATTCTACATCTAGTATCCCCCTGCTGCCTCCTGCTACTGTCACAGTTGGTGTAGCTTCATGGTAAACAAATGAAGGAACTGATTCAGAAACAAAATAACCCACCAAGGAAAAGAAATTTATGTTTAGTGATTAGTTCTCTGAGCTGTTCACCCCAGAGCTGCATTAGCAGCTGTTTCAACACAGTGAGGGAGAGGATGGGCAGGAATGGTGAGCAGGATTGCTTCTTCCAGGAAGGCTCAGGAGTTCACAATCTGACTTTGGATCAGTAAGAAGAGAAAGGACAACACTACTGTCACCTCACTTATTTGTGGAGCTTATCTGTGTGGGGAAGTGATTGTGAAATAAACTGGGGTGTGACTAAGTGCAATGGCCCTTGTGTACCAACTCCTCCAGGTCAGCACTTCCCTCACCCAAGGAGAGCCTTCTCCATGTCAGCTTCAATCAACTGCAATGGCCTACAATTATTTCTCATTCAAAGAAAGCTCTTAAGGAAGTTTGGGGACAGAATTAGGAGCAGCAGCAACTCAAGATGCCGTTGCAAAACACCTCTGTGCTCAGGCAGAAAGTTCTCGTTGCCTATGGCAACACAACTATGTGTTTATGTAGCCCAAGTCACAGCCCAAATCCTGCCTCAGCTGAATGCTCGGGCTAAGAGGTGCTTCAAACCTGAGCCCTGCAGGGGGACAAACTGAGTGAGAGCTCCTTAAACACTCATGTTGTACTCCTGAAGTGCTTTTTGCAATATGAATGTTCCCACTGAAGTGTAAACTTGGTGAATTCACTCTGAGAGAACTCCCAAAGCCCAAATTTCTCTTGTTCCAGGGAGATTCAGGCTTATAAAACACCTCTCACATTCACCTGTCACTAAGGATGATAACTTCAGCCCATGTTTTTAGCATTTTGCTGATGAAAATATGCTCCATTTCCAAACCATCTTCACAGTCTCAGTGACACCAATTCCATTCTATGAAAAATCTATTTTTAGATTTATAAATTTAATTCACATATGTTTTGAGGCAGTTTATTCCTTTTTTTCTCTTCAATCTTAGTTTCTATCACAGT